ACACCTCTAAGATTATTCTTGTTCTTCTCTCTATTCAGACAAGAGTGTTGACAGTAATAAGATTCTTTTTTGGGAGGACTTGTGGATTCGGGAATCTCCCCTTAAGGATAGATTCCCAAACCTTTATTCCCTTTCTTTGAAAGAATCTCAATTTATCTCTTCTTTTCGTGTTTTTAAGGATTCTGGGATGTGGAACTAAGGAGAGGTTTGAGGGACTCAGAAGTGGATTCGGCAAATGATATTTTTTCTCTTCTAAATTCAGTTTTTCTAGACCACTCTTCTCCTAACGGTAGAATTTGGACTGAAACTTCTACAAGTAGTTTTTTTTGTTCTTTGTTTTTCAATGCTTTGGTCCTTCCTTTTAACCCAGTTTCCTCCTTTCCTGTTAAAGAAGTATGGAGCGCTCCGGTACCCCCAAAAGTAAGGGCTTTTTGTTGGGAAGTGGTTCTCTAAAAAACCAATACCTTGGAAGTGCTTCAACGAAAGAGACCAAATTGGTGCTTGTCACCTCATGTCTGTAGCCTTTGCTTGAGGAATGGTGAGACGGTGAATCACCTATGAATTTCTTGTCCTTTTAGTGCTCTAATTTGGGATTGGCTCTCTCCTCTCTCTTTGATTGTAGGTGGACCCTTCCCACAAGTGTAGCGGATTTATTTGACCCTAGATTTTTCCGACTACCAAAGAAGAAAGGAAGGGTAATGTGGAGAACAACAAGGGCAGCTATCTTGTGGGCAGTGTGGGAAGAGAGAAATAATAGGATTTTCCAAGGGAAAGAAAAATCAGCTCCTGAAGTTATCGAAGGGATCACCATCAAGGCAGTACATTGGTTGAAAACTCTTGACTTGTTCAAGGATGTCTCTATAGATGATTTGACTAGAGGTTGGAGTATTTTAGCAAGATCTTCTACTTCATCACGTGCCATACAAGCAGTTTGGTCCCCTCCTTTGCAGTGTAATGTCAAATTGAGCTGTGATGGCAGCTCTCTTGGGAACCCTGGACCTTCTGGAATAGGGGGTGTGTTTAGAGATGCGGAAGGAAAAATCCTAGCTATATATTCTGGTCCAATAGGTTTGGGGGACTCGCTTAGAACTGAAGTATTGACTCTCCTCCAGGGGTTCAGATGGGCCAAGCAATTGGGTTTTCAACAGTTAGAAGTGGAGGGGGATTCAAAATTAGTAGTAGGTTGGATGCAATCAAATAGTTTGGGAACATGGTCCCTTAGACAACATGTAAGGGGATTATTGAGCCTCATAAAGGAGCTGGGTGCACAAGTGTATTGGTCTAGGAGGTCAGCAAATGCTTTAGCTAACAACTTAGCAAAACAAGGGGTGAATCGGGAGGTTTTGTTTTGCGCAGTATTGTAAGTTATTTGTTATTCAGGGATCACCTTTTACTTTAGAAGGTGACAGTTGTTTTTTATGGTTTTATCTAATGAAAGTTACCGTTTCCTATCAAGAGAGAGAGAGAGAGAGAGAGAACAAAACCAAGTCTGATAACAAAAGACAATGAAACCTCAGATCATCAAGCATGTATTTGAGTATGTCAAGATGATTTCAGAAGCACTTTAGGAAAAAGTATCTCAATAGATTTTTAGAATATTTTTTTCTTGCAGCATGAGAACAGTAGTCTAGGCAAGTTTGTACTTTTTACTAGTCCTTCCCTGGAAAAGATGTGGCATTGAACATATGCTACTCTCTTCCATTTTATTGTTCAGAGCATCTAATCCACAGTAAATTTAAGGCGACTGAGATGTTATTTCCAAGCTTATCCCTGAAGGTATGGAATCAACTTGAGGAACTTGAAATGTTATTTCCAAGCTTAACTCCGAAAACCATCACATTACTGGGAATTTTCTTGCTAGTAGCATTCCAGTCATGAGTGGTGTATATGTTCATTTTGATGTCAGCATCAATTTGAGGTGCATGACTTATTGCTTTGTTGTGAGTATGAAGATGAAATTGGGTTGGTTACTATACCCTCAATGTTTTATTACTTGATTACTTTATCCACAAAATGACAAAGAAATAGTCATTCAGTTCAGCCACTTGAGACATTATCAAATGGCCCCTAATATGGTTTGGGCACATGAGAAGACCTTCAACAGCAGCAGTAAGAAATGATCTATTAACAAGTTGAAGGGACTAGAAGAGTAAGGGGCATACCAAAAAGGGCATGGGTTGAAGCAGTTAGAAATGATTTAAGGGCCCATAGTTTAACAATGGATATAGCACTAAATAGAAAAGAATGGTGAAACGGTATAGTGTAGGGCCACAAACGGATTTGATCACATCGGATATACCTAGATTCAAATTGAATCTTATCCATCAGATTTATATCGGATTCGCATCAAACTCAGATTGCAATTGGATATTGAACAACATTAATAAATTAAACTAAAAGTGGTCAAAATATTATATATGATTAATAAAATGAAATGAACCAAAAGATGGTATATATAAGCATATATACTTGAATTGAATCGAATCAGATCGGACAGGGGTGGATCCATATTCAATCCGATTAATAATGGATTATATTCGGATCACCCTTAACCGGATTGAATTCAAATTTGGACAAATGGATACCATTTGGAACCCCTACTTCAACAACGGTCGATTGAAAAGATAAATGTAAGTTTTGATTCCTCAACGATGCTCCAAGGATTGTATTGTGATAATAATCACTCTATACATAAAGGCATAAAATTTAATAATACCCAGAAAACCTCAAGAACTAGTCCATTCAGTCAATTCGACAAATGCAAAAAGAAGAAAAATTCATCAAAGAAATCGGACTCTACAAGCCTATGCTTTACCTGCAATACAACAGAGTAAATCACGTCCGCATACTTGACCGCCAAATTAAGCGACATACACCTCGCCGGCGCAACCGCATAGCACCGCAGATTACTTCTGGGAATCGCACCAAGTCGGTCCCGGTTGTTAACCACCACCACCGTTAATAAGGCGGCGACGCCGGAACCCAACGAATGTCCGGCAAAGACCATCTTATACGACGAGCCATTATCGACCCACAACTTCCTCAGCGTCTCGGACTCCTGATCCAACAACCAAACTGCTGACTTCAACAACCCATGATGAACATACCCTCCATCAAACATCTGTATTCCCAGCTTATTGTCTAGCAGCACCTTGTAGTCGCTCCCCTTGCCGAGATTGAGACCTCTAATAACTAGAACGATCTCGCAATTGTTGTGGTCGACGTAGATGAGGTAAGGTGGAGCGTGGCCGTCAGTCTGCTCGTACGTAACGCGCTTCACGACCCAGTCCGGGTTCATGCGGTACCCACCGCTGGGGGGGAATTTGGGGTTGCGCAGGTCTTCTTCATAGACGGAGAGGATGTAACGGCAGATATGAGGGACTGGTTCGAATTCATCCAGGGTGGCAGGGGGCCAAGTGGAGCTGTCGTCGGAGCCGACGTAGGTGCAGCGCTTCCACGCCCAGCGAGCGAAGCCTGCGTAGACGATACACTCGACTCCACACGACAGAGACATTCTCTTGTTTCCTTGGTGGGGAAGGAGAGAAGGCTGAGAAACTACTGTACTTTTCTGGTCTCTGAAAGAGAGAGCGGAGTCTCGAATCTCGATACTAACAAGAGAGAGAGAGAGAGAGAGAGAGACAGCGCTCACGTGGGCTGCTCCATTTGAGAAAGGGCGACACGGTGTCAAAGTTTCTGACTTTTGACAATGAAGGGCTCGCTGATTTGCTTTAACGTCTAATCTTGGATTGATTCAGTTCATGGCTGAGAAATCTCAATTCAGCTGATAAGGGTTCGCTTGAGGTTGCCATGTTGTACTTTTTAATTTTTAGTGTGAAGATGCTCCATTGTCTTCGGATTCGAATTGGAACCGGATCCATGTTGTACTTTATAAATAGTGTCAACTGTTAAAAGTTTTTAATCTTTTTCAGGGGTAGGTTGGAGTATTTTAATAGATAGGTGTAAAAAAAAATTTGAAAGTCCTCATTTAACGTATTTATAATGACGTGCTTATCTAATATGAACCGAATCAACCTTCAAGTTTGGATCGGATTCCAATAAATTAATTTGAAAATTAATCGATATTAGGCTGCATTTGCCACTCTTTATATTAAGGATTTATTTCCTTTTTGAAATTAAAAATTAAATGTTAATAGAGACGTTTTAACTACAAAAAGGAGATAAATCCTTGTCAAATGCAGTTAAAAGTATAAGATTATGCATACCCATTTTAGTAATAAATGCATGCTAGTATTAGTTTTTCATAGATATCCCTTGTCCCAATTATATGGATAAACTATATGAATAATGTTTTGTTATTACGAAATATTAAGTGTCATATTCACATAATTTATCTTTTAAATTATGAATGATTAAATCATTTCTTATTATTTTCATTTAAGTCTTTTTTAATTTATTTTTTTCTCATTCTATCACTTATTGAAATTATTTCTAGGTTTTTTTATATGGGAAAATCTATGATGCAGAAAATATATGATATGGAAAGAGTTTTGACCAATCAAAACCCACCCATGAATTTTTGATAAATAACACCTTATTTGCTACCACATTTGTGATTTTAGTTTACTCGTCAGTTGTTTTTCCCATATCATATCTTTTCTATGTCATGGTTGAACCCTTTTTCTATTTATATATTTTTTTAACCTTAAATATTCCCCGTGGAGGGGTAACCACCATAAATTTTATTAATTTTCAAGAAAAAAAATAAAAAGAGGAGATGAATTTTTTTAGGTGGATCCATATTCTAACTTATTATCAATGGATAAATTAGAATTGCATTATTTGAATCTGGTCTCAAGTTTAAGTGAGTATTTTGCCATATCCATATATATCAACATGATCCGACACTATACTATCTTAAGATGAGATTGTGAGTGAGACCTTCCATATATAAGATGTACAGTGTCAAATCATACTCTTAAGAGATAGATTCCTCGGTATGGCGGTGTTGAATGTCCTTTGTGATTTTGTTTTAGTAACACAATCAATACCAAGCCATTATGCTTGAATCTAGTTTGTTAGACTGATTGGATACTTTTATTATCTCTATTATAATTCAATCTCTTTCATTTTGTTTTTATTTTGCCTTCATTGGGGCGTAATAAACAACTATTGCATTGTATTGTGTGCCCATTTTGTCGGATGCATAAATGCAACATAGATGCACAACGGCACAACACCAAAACTCATTCTCACTCTCCACTTGCAAAAGTCATATTCACTCTCCACAACGGCACAACATAAATGTAACATATCCCAACCGTGTATTGGGAATATCTCCTACTAACAACTTCGAGAAATGTTCCTAATGCATGTCGAGATGTACATGCACGAAGTTTGCAGGGCGCCATTTGTGGGGCACAAGTGTGATTTTGAAAGAGAAAGGATAGGTTCATAAGTCCCTCTTTTTCTAGTCTTTTTGTGTCTGGCGGGTAAAAGAACTGTTGTATTGTTCACTCATTCTAGTTTTTTTTTTTTTTTTGAATGGAAAATCTATAATGCCCAAAAAACATGATATGGGAAAGAGTTTTCACAAATCAAAAAATCCACCCATGAGTTGTAATGAATAATCATAAGTGATTTGCATATTATGTCTTTTTATTATCATAGTCGAACCCTTTTCTGATAGGTATGTTCAATCATTCTAGTTACGTGGAAAAAAAATCTCAGTCCTTTTATATTACTAGTATGTGTGTATGTGCTTTACACATGACAAATTTTGAGATGACGATGATAGTATATTATATGTTTTCAAAGTTTTCTATAATTTTGTTATATTTCTATGTCTATAAAATTTATTCTCATTTGTCACACTTATTACGGTTCATTAATATAGAGATATGCCCAAATGTTTTCTACATAAGTTATATGTTTTTGTACATTTTGTATATTTTACTTTTAAAATTTTATTATTTAATTATAACTTTACGAGTTGATACCCAAAATATTGAATTAATCTACCAAGAAATAGGGAAATAATTTCACTTTGGGGTTAGTTTTGAATTTTTTATTTTATTTATATCACTAATGAAAGGTTAAAAAAATATTATTTATCATGTATAATTTTTAATATTATCAATTTAAAATGTTAGAGATGTATCCAAATGTTTTTCTATAGTTTCTACCTTTTTCATATTTTTTTTATTTTTTTTCTTTTTAATTTTTATTATTTAAGTATGAATGGTTGACACATATGACCCGAAAGGTTGAACTATTAATCCACCATTAGGAAAACAATTTCATTTTTGGGTTGGTTTCAAAATTTATATTTTATTCCCAACATCAATAAAGTAACTATTATTAGTCATACTTAATTTTCTTTAATATGAAAAATTAGATAAGTGCCAAAATGTTATTTACAAATTTTTTGTATTATTATATAATATTTTATGCTACACACACACATACATATACTAGTCAAAGTGTACATACATTTCACGCGGCAATATCAAATGATGATGATGATGATGATAATCAGAAACCAAATGACCTTACTGGTTGAACCATTAACCTATTTAACCAGGAAAATGGACTATTATTAAGACATTAATTCATTTTTTTTCTTTATATTTTAGCCATTTCTATCTTTACTAATAATATTTCTTATTTTTCAAACATATTTTTGTTTAATATGAAGAATATATAATATTAATGCATGTTCAAAATTTTCTATAAAATTTATAAAAATTATAGATTTTTATTTATTATTATTTAATTTATGAGATAATAAAAAATACTTATTTACCAAGAGGAAATGCAATTCTAATATATTGTTTGAATATTTATTTATAAAAATGTTATTCATATTGCATTTTTGTAAACTTCTTATGTGATGAAAATAGTTGAAAAATACTTATATTTTTGCTTTTATTTATTTCACCTATTAAATTTTATTTTTTGCTTAATAATTTATTATTTTTTAAAATTAAAATAGATCGTATCAAATTCGGATATCCAACATCTTTATCGGATTCATATTAGAAGCAATATTTATGAGATCCGATCAAATATTCGGATCGGATCGAATCAAATTCAAATATACCGTGATTCAAATCTGATCCGATATATTTGCATCTCTACCAAACCACTTTCCTACAATGACCTAGCTAATTAAATCATTGAACCATTTGACATGTTTAGTGGGGTCTTGTGTTAGACATTAATGTTCTTTATTTTTATCCTATTTCTATCATTAATGAAAATCATTCTCATTAATGAAAATAATTCTCATTAATCACATTTTTTTTATATGATGAATATAATATTATAGAATGTACCCAAATTATCTATAAATTTTTACATTTTCCAGAATTTTATGTATTTTATTATTTAATAATAACATCATGATTTGATCCATTTGACATGGATAGCTAAACCACTAACCCACCACTTGGATGAAAAAGCTATTTTTATCTTTTTTCAGTTGATTTGAAATCATGTATTACATTTTCATCATCAATAAAAGTAAGTCTTATTTTCACATTTATTTTTGCACGTGACAATATCAAATGATGATGATAATAATAATCTGTAACCAAAGGACCTTAGTGGTTGAACCGTTAACTTATTTAACTAGGAAAATGGGCTATGATTAACACATTAATTCATTTTTTTTCTTTGTATTTTAGCCATTTTTATCTTTACTAATAATAATTCTCATTTTTTAAATATATTTTTGTTTAATACGAAAAATATATAATATTAATGTATGCTCATTCTTTTATAAAATTTATAAAAAATCTATATTCTTATTTTTTATTATTTAATTTATGAGATAATAAAAATTACTTATTTACCAAGAGGAAATACAATTCCAATATATTGTTTGAACATTGGTTTTTAATATTGTAGTCAAATCAATTATTTATATATAGCATATATAATATATATATGTTATTTATTATTTATTTATAAATATGTTATTTATATTGCATTTTTGTAAACTTTTTATATGATGACAAAAATAAAAAAAATACTTATATTTTTGTTTTTTATTTCAACTATTATATTTTTTTTCTTTTAATAATTTATTAATTTTTTAAAAAATTAAGTCGAATTGTATCAGAATCGAATATCTGACATATTGATCGGATTCAGATTCAAATCAATATTTATGAAATCCAGTGGAATCTTTGGATCATATTAGATTTGAATATATCATAATTCAAATCTAACCTGATCTATTTGCATTCCTACCAAACCACTTGCCTACAATGACTTAGCTAATTAAATTATTGAACCATTTGACATGGCTAGTCGGGTCATGTGTTAGACATTAATGCTCTTTATTTTTTATCCCATTTCTATCATTAATGAAAATAATTCTCATTAATCACACCTTGTTATATGATGAATATATAATATTATAGAATGTACCCAAAATTATTGACAAATTTCTACATTTTCTAGAATTTTATGTATTTTCTTATTTATTAATAACATCCATTTGACATGGATAGTTTAACTAATAACCCACCACTTGGATAGAAAAACAATTTTGTTTTTCTGGTTGATTTTAAATCATGTATTTCATTTTCATCATCGATAAAAGTAATTCATATTTTCACATTTATTTTTGTTTAATATAGTGAATATATAATAATAGAATTGTATCAAAATGCTTTATATATGTGTGTGTGTGTGTGTTTGTGTGTATGTATTTAATATTCGTTACTTA